AACCATAATAAACATATTAGAACAGCCCATGACACAATCTGAGAGCTGTATAAATTTAAAATCTTTACCTTCTATGGCAGCAAAAGGAGTAACAAAATTAACAGCAAGGAATGATTTCCTGAAGACTGGATTGAAGAAGATATATATAAAGATGCCTGTGGTGAGACCAATTAGCCAGTCGACAATGGCAACTATGAATTCTGTGTGTTTGCACGTGACCTGAAATAGTTAACAATATTGATATTTAATCATCATAACCATGATGAGGCAGGGAAAAAAAACCCTCAACATTTGTTTTCCCAATACCACTTGGCAGACGAGCATATAGTAAGTGCAGTTGCTGGAAGTGCTTATGCTTAATGAATCGCTAACATCGCTAAGTTCAGTCTGCATCTTCCAGTGCAAAGAGAGAGACAGAAAGTAATTACAGAGGTTTTCTACTAGAAAGCCAATCTGGAAATGTCTGCTTAATTAGGTAGTTGTTTGGCCATCGATTCAGTGGTGCCTGAAAAACGTGCTTGCTATTTATCGCAAATGAACAGCAGCAAGGCAAAAAAACGTCAGAAGTAACTTTGTGAACCATGTGAGAAAGTGATCTTCACCAGCAATAACCACACGGAGAATATTCCACTCAGGTCTTTCTTCAGTTTCTTGGCAAGATTTCAAACAAATTCTTCCAGGTCGCTTCAATACAACTATTCCTGTTGCCCTTAAGTGAGTGAAGTAAGGCCTCCTCGTCAACACAGAACTCACATTTTCTGCAGGTGTTGGCCAGACATGAGGAACACCTGTATACCTCATGCAAGTTCTGCAAAGTGAACTATGGCCCCTACCAATAAAAGTTGATGAAAAATCAGTTTCCAATGAATTTCAGATGATAACTTCTTCCATAAAACAGCATAAGTCTGGGAAGAAGACAAGTAGTTCAAAATCAACTGGTCTTCACACAAGGCACATTTATAATTCTCACTAAAAGAAACATTTGGCTCTGTTATCTGTAAGGGTTGTCATTGTGCCTTATCAGATTGTCTGACCAGTTCTGCTGATGGAGAAAGCAAAAATATTTTTGCTTAATAGCAAACCTCAGTTGTGAAGTACTAATGTGTTCATTCTCTCATTATATTCAGGGTATTTTCGTGTCATCAGTATTCCATTTTGCACCTTGCCACGTTTCTTTTTTTTCCTAAACCCGTTGTCTGGTAAGACACTGTAAGCAAAAGAGGTACCTGCATGATCCCATGCTGAACCAGTGCTCACTGTGCAGAAAATTCTGTTAAACAACTGGTAAGTCAATGACTGGGCAGCAACATTCCAAAAATTGCTCTTGCATTCTCAAGCATCCAAAGCAAATGACAGAAAGGGGCCCACCTTTAGGCCATACATACTTAGAAGAGATGAAGAAGCCCTGTTTTAATCCAGGGAAAAGAATGACTTGTCTGCAGGAGTCTTTAAAGACTTTTTTAGCCCCAAAATCTGATTCTCAGTGTAGTGGCCCTATCACAAACTAAGTTTTGCCATACTAGATGTGAAAAATCCACAGCTCTTGCTCTTGGCTTACTGCCTTTCAGTGACTAATGAATGTCTCATGCTGGAGATTTTTTCTGAGTCTGGGAAACTTACAGCATTGTATTAGGAAAATGCAGCAACACAGTTCATTGCACTACTTTGAGCAGCTGCTTAATTCAGTCTATTGGTTTTTAATTTTTGCACATACCTCTTATGTCCACTGATAATACAAAGGCACCAGTCATTCTTGCCCAGCATTTATGATGGTGGGATTGGCAGAGGGTCCTGGCCTAAGTGCCTCTGAGTAGAGTGACACTCAGTAAGTAAAGAACTGGAGTATTTGTGCAATCTGAGGCAGTGCGGGGAGATGGGCTGATGATAAGAGCGATACCAGAGCAAGCATTGTAGGTGCAACAGACTCACCATCTGAGACCTGCACGTCTCTTATTTTGCTAGATGAGAGACTTTGGTGCAAGTGTGGGTCACTCTTAAGAAAAACTGAAGACAAAGTGGTCAGTGACATCTCTGTATGTAGGACAAAGTCTTTCTTGCTGTCCTCCTGATAATGAAGGAACAGAATAAACCTAAGAATGGAAAACAACCCACGGTGTTTCTACAAGTAAACAATTAAAACAATCCTAATGCCTTAGAACAGTATTGCCAAATGACCAACCTGGATGGTCCTTTCTCCAGCTTCTGCAGCAGAAAGAACGGGGTTGAACCACAAAGCAAAACAATGTTCACTTTTCATCTGAGCAGCTGCTACAGGCACAGTAGCATTTTTATAGCTAATCGGTTCTTTTCTCTCAATAACGTGCATCAAAACATTGCTTATACTTAGCTGACTAATAGCTCCGGCCAATAGACACACAGAACAGCAAGGACAGTACAGGAATTCAGCAGTACCAAGGAAAATTCTAATCCTACTAAATTTGGCAGCACAAATCTCTTATGTAACCTGTGATTTAGAGGACAGTTTGATCATCTGGGAACATTAATGTGTTCTTTTCAGTACATTAAACAAAAATGGCAACTTTCCATTACAGATTTTCTTTTGGTTTTCACTGCATAATGTCTCAGGAAAGGCATACTATGCTAACAAGACATTTTTAGTATCAACAAAAATGCTTTTATGACAATTCAATTATTCTGAAGGTGTATGTAAGTTTAAAAGCTAACTTTAAGTGCTTCTTTGCCAAGATTGCATTCTACTGTGGTACATCTCAGAGGTGCAGGAGAGGGCTTGTGATCTAAATTTAAAGCAATGGGCCTCCAAAACAATGCCTGGAAAATAGACTTTCAGAAAGTTGACTGTCACATCAGCAAATTTTACAGATCTCAGGAATTGAGCCTCTCACGAGGCTAAGGAGGTTTGAGAGCTACAGATGGAAGAACCCAAGCACGTACAAACCACTGGAACAACAAATCACTGTTTGTATCCACTATTAAAAAAACACCGAAACAAAACCTGTCCTCCTTTTCCAACAAAATTACATTCTAACATGCAAAAGCAGCTATTGAGTAATAGCATACAGGTGCATAAAATCTCTATTCACAAAATAATTATGAACAACGGATCACATCATTTAAATCCCTGTTGTTCTTAAATCAGTTACAAAATTAAGTAAGAGTTCATTGAGTGCCAATACTTACAGAGTGCAATAAACATTCAATTCATACCACGAATTCAAGAATTACAAAATTATGCTTTTGAAATAGAGATACTGGCAATTTTTAGGAAAACGAAAAAAGTTTTATTCATAGAATAGCAAAAATGGATCTTATAGAACACGCCCATAAATGGTGAAGAGTTCAGAGACTGTCGGAGAATCTGCCAACTGAAATTGCCACACGCTCTGCTGACAAGCGCTTGCTGCAAAACTTGAAGCCAATTACAGACATTTTCTTCTCATCCATACAAAGGATGTGCCACAGAGATGTACATTAATATTAGACTTCATTGATATGTTTGAAAACAAGTGGAAATAACTTTGCAGGCTGCCAGCTATCACCAGCTAGCTAATCCACATATTTCCATTCAATTGTTAAGGTAGGTGAAGCTTTTAAAATGAAAAGCAGCACCATTTCTCTCTTCTTTTGGGGGACCCAGCTCATTCAGCTATCCCGAGAAAGCTTCTTCGTAAATATAAAATGCTTAAATGAATTACCAGTTTAGCAACTGCAGGATGCCAACACATTTGGAACAAGAAACTTTGGTGACATATGCTCAATAATGGATAGTTAAGGGTGACAGGAAATACCAGGCAACACCTTTTAGAGGGCTACTTACAGTGCAACCACAGCATGGCAGGAGTTAAGAGCAGAGAAAATAACTATCCTCAGTATTCTTTATTTTCTCCCATAATACATAGAAAAAAACATCAAGTTTTCAGTCTTCATTAGTCATGCAGTTGTATTAGTAATAGATAGGAGAACAAAAGGAAACCTAAACCAGAGTTATCTATTCATAGGGAAACTCCTATTGATAGTTTTTCTGTTACAATTGAAAGTTACAAAAGCATAAGAGATTGTCCAGGGGAGACTGCTGGGAGGAGCATGCACTCAAACAGATCTGCTTAAAACCCCACCATGAGGGTTTTACACCAAGACTACCATTCTTTTCCCTTAAAATGCATACACAGTGAACACATCACTCTCCAAAACAGAAATTGCTTTCTTATGTAGAAACTAAGCAAAGGACAAAAGAAATGCAGAGCCACACTCAGCCTCACGTGTTCAGAGAGTCTCACTTCAAGTCTTATGTCAAATAAATGCTGAAGAGAAGGCAGCCTGTTTTCATCTTTCAAATTTGGCATGTATATGAGCAATTACATCACAGAATTCAAAAGCCAGTTTCAAACCAAGTTTTTAAAAGCCAGACTAACTTAGAAAATGACGAGACACAGACCTGGCATTAGAAATTGATGCTCGTTATTTTATTGCCACGGGCCATCAGAGGCCTTATGTAAGGCCTCCTTAGAGGCTAACAAGGGAACAGCTAACCAGTTACTGCCAAAGTAAGAACTGGCAGAGTAAAACCCTAGATTTCAGCAGTTTAACAATTCATGATTTAACCAACCCTACTGTAGGCAGAAACAAAATTCAACCAGACAATTGCATTAAAATCTGAAGAGCAATACTTAGAGAGGAGAACGTAATAGTTTGGGGTGAGAGTAATTATAAATACCTATAACCATAGAACTAAATGAAGATACTACTTTAATGAGGTGATACAATCTCATATTTTATACGTTTATAAAATATTACTATCGGAGAAGCAGAGGACTCAGGATACAGCAAAAGAATAAGTGCGTTAATCTCAAAGTTCTTTTAGGATGGTAACATAGTTTCAACCTATCCACTAGGATCATTCACTTTGAACTGTATCAGTTACTGCGAACCATTACCTTTAATTAAAACAGTTAACATTAGTGCTAAACCAACAAAAATCAAATATTATGTACATTTCTAGGCAAACAGTCAGGCTGTCTTTACCTCTCATCTCATTCCAAGCAAATGTATTATCTTCCAAAAAGTAATATTCACAAAGGATTTTAGAGAAAAGTTACTGTACAAAGACACAGAAGTTAAAGTTCATAAAAAGAATAGTCAATACAATTAGACAGAAGTTTGCTTGTAGTTCTTCGTATCCAAGACCTTCTTGCCACACATTGAGCAGATGCCTATAAGCACACAAAAAGTGCGTATATTACTTTAAAATCATTAAAGTGTTTCTTCAAAAACATAGTTGCTATGTTTTTGTAAAGATCATTTTCAAAAAATCGTTTAAATGAGCTCTCATTGACAACCTATCTGTGCATCTTCTCACCACATACTGCAAATTCAGAAGTAATAATATGACTTCCAATACAAGTTAGTATTTGCAGCATATGTGTAATACCACCACTTAAAAAAAAAAAAATCAACTCTATTTTGAGAGCACTCTGATTCACAACACTGCCTGAAGCCTCTGTAACTTGCTGGAATACTGGAAGAGAGCCAGGAAAGGCTCCCATCTGGCAAACAGGTAAAAATAGCATATTATTGAACTTTGTAAGCCCTGTAGCCAAACCGAGACCTGAGACGGACAGAAAGTAGCTAGGCTAAGAAAATATAGTCACCAACAAACTGACTGCTAAACAGAAAATTAACAGGTGGGGAGCTTCAGGCAATTGAGAAAGCTGAGAAGAATATGGTTTCATGGAATTAAGCTATTTATAGAGTAACAGAAGTGAGAAACAATGGACACCAAGAATACTTGAGAGTTGAAGCAAAGATGACCACTGATGTCCCTGAGGACTTAGACCTAATCCCAAACAGTGGTACGTCAGAACAGAGCAGCAAAAAGCACAAGGAGGCTCTGCAGAGGCAGAGAGGCAGGTTGTCTCAATGTTTCCCTCTTCTTCTAAAGTGGAAAGGCACTAAATCTTTTGTCTGGTAGGGCCACATCTCGTTTTACAAGACAAAAAAAAAAAAAGAGTCAAGTGGCAACTATTCCTCTTAACTCTCTCCAAAATCGTGTGCTTTCTTGTATTGACACCGTATGACTGGGCACATATCTAAGAGTCCATTAGGGAAGAGAACAGCAGGGAACATGCCGCATGATTTACTTTGGAGAGCAAAATCCAGCCCACAGGCTGTTCACTTCAGGTCTAAATTGAGAAGTAATTAACTTCAGATTGCCTCTTAACTTCAGAGATATACAACAGTTGAAGAATTAAGCCTGCAAATGACCGCATTTGCTTCAACAAACATGCCACAACCATGTCTTTGATGGTCAGAAATAGAACCTAAAGCTCTTAAGAGTTCTGAATTTTGTGAAGAAAACAGATTCCACGTGGAAGGATACACAAGCAGATGAAATCCTGATGCCTGCTCAAACCAGCCATAAGTTTAAGAAGGAGAACAAGGTTCTACCATATGCGATTCAGGCAGCCATCTGGTGAGCATCTAGCAACCAGAAAAGGCAACCCTCCTACAGCAGGCTGCTAAACCACTCGGTGACACAGTACACATTTATAGAACACTCAAAGTAATTTCATAAACAAAACTTATTACTGGTTAGCTGTAGCTCTACGTCTAACAATTGGTTCATCCCACGTCAGCGTGCTATGTGGATTCCTCGGTATTAATCATGTAACTGAGTTCATGTTGCTATTTATCTCCTCTAAAAATTACAAGTTTGAGGCCTTTTGCCTACCTACTCAAAATCACAAGACTAGTAAGTCTTGGTATCTCTAAGGCTCTCCAACAAGTTTGCTTGAAATTCGCCCCCGCCCCCCCCCCAGCCTCAGGAATTTTTGAACAGTTTTTAACAATAGTGAAGACTTAATTATGAGTGGTAGAAAGCTTCCAGGTATATGCAGAATTTCAGTGCAGTCATTCACAGATAAGTACAGAATACCCCAGGTATTCCACTTTTGTTAAGCTAGCCTATCACTTTACCAATATCAGAAGTTAGATTTTTAGTTGTTTTGTGGGTTTTTGGGGAGTGGACGGGTCTGGGGTGTTTGGGTTTTGCATTGCAGGGTTTTTTTTGGGTTGGTTTTTTTTTTTTTGGATGTTGGGTTGTGTTCTTTCTTTTTGAGTCCACTATTTAATGTTTTACATTTAGCTATTATAAAAAGGGGAGAGAGGAGAAGGGAGCAGAAAAGGGATCGTGATAAGCAATTGAGTTTTACGAAAATCTAATTTTTAAAAAAAAAAAAAAAATCAAACTTGCTAGATGACATTTTTCTAAGCAATTGCCAAGATTCAGTTATTCTTCCAATTCTACTGCTTTAGATACCAGAAACATTCTAAAAGAAGCAGAATCACAGAATGACTTACGTTAGAAAGGATCTCCAGCAGTCTCTAGTCCTGCCCTTGCCCCACTCAAAATATGGCCAACCTGGATGAGGCTGGCTAAGGCCTTTTCAAGTCAAGCTCTGAATACCTCCTGTAGCGACTCCACAAACCCTGTGGGTCCCTGTTATTAAAATATTTGACCAGCCTCACAGTGAAGATTGCTTTCCTGTGTGTAATTAGAATTTGTCTCATTTTGACTTGTGTACATTGTCTCTTATTCTATCACTGTGCACCTCAGAAGAGTCCAACTCTATGTTCTCTACGCCTTCCTATTAGTAGTTGAAGTCAGCAAATAGATTAAATCTGTTTCACCTTACAAAGAGAAGGCTAAGATGAAATTCAAGAGTTCCACTTGCTCTCTAATTTCAAATCAAACTGGGGTAATTTGGTTCTCAGCAAAACTCACCTTTTTTATAGGCACATCCTTGACAATAGTGAGACCCTGGCTGATGGACAGAACTCTTACAAATCCGACATATTGCAAATTTGTTCTTCCCATAAGGATCAAACCTGGGAAAAAGAAAAAGTATTTTATTTCTACATCTTGAAATAAAGTATTTCCTCTGCCTCATGCTAAAAAGTCCAAGCCAGAGGGCACAGACAGAAACTCCAGCAAAAACTGTAATTTAGAAAAGAGACATACAAGGATTATTTCTAATAGGTTGCACAAAGTCTACAGAAAAGCTCCCACTTTCCCCATTAAGAGAGATTTCTTGTATTATGGACAAAAACTTAACAAAAGCAGAACTGAAACCATGACTTTTTGTTAAGATACTAGACTATTTTGAACTTACACACCTTCCAGCAGCGCCTTGCCCTCTTGCACCACAGAACATCCCCCAGATATTAAGGACATGCTCAAGAGATTGTATCAGTAATCTTAGCACAGAAAATAAGCCTTCCCAGCTCCTCTCCTAACAAAAGCCTCAAATCTTAGCAATTTCAGTGAGAACTGGAGTAAAATAGTTGCCCGTGCTCTATAATTCAGCAGAAAGCACCCAGGAAATATGTATAAACATACTTTTACCAACTAATCAAACATCAAAATTGTCACAACATAGTATTTTTTTTTTAAGCGTTATTTTGAACAATTTTTGAGCAGTTATCCAGATATACAGGAAACAGGCCTCAGTTACAGCAAACCAACTCTTTTTGCCAAATCAGTATTAAAAACTAACCTCGCCTTCTTTGAGGTCAATGCCTTGTTTTCATTTAACTTGCGGCCACCGCTTTCTACAAAAAGAATAAAGCCATAAACCAATAAATTTCCCAGTTGCAAGCGTGCTTAAAAAAAAGCTTCGTTTACATCCTTTACACGTGTGCAAATAAAGTCACAAAAAGAGATAAAACTTATGGCACTGCATCAAAGCACAGGACAACGTCATACTTTATGCTATGCTCTGCTTATGTATGGTCATTTCATACAAGAACGAAAAAAAAAAACCACAAAACAACAGAAAAGCTCAATACTGAAGAGGTCAGGGTAAATAAACTCCCAATGCATTAAATTAGCAGGTGAGGGAAACCACAGGAATTAAAAATTAACCTGATTAACCATTTCAGATTTCATCCTTGTGATCGCTCAGGTGCCCAACTAGCTTTCAGATACCTGAAAAACAAGCGTTAAACCTCCCCGAGATTACCTGTGGTGTTTCTTGCACCATCCTTCCACGTATCGGGAGTGATTACCGTACCGAGTTTCTTCTCACCTGCACAAAGAAACGTTACAAAGGAAAAAAGCTGAAACTACGCTGCCTTCAGGCGCACAACGAGCGCTGCCTGAGGGAGAACGACAGCTCCGAGACGTTCCCGGAACCGCCACCTACAGCCCAGGAGCTGCTGCTGAGCTCAGGGGATGTCCGGTGACCCCGACAGCACGGCGCGGGTAGAAGGCCTCCCTCCCCGCCTTTGCTCCGCCGACACTCACACTTCTCGCACACCATGGCGGCCCTCACGAAAACAAAAGGCCACTTCCGGGATCTCCCCGGAACTGACGCGCGGGCGCCGCCGGTTTCCGTCGCCGGGCGACCCCGCGCGCGCGGCGGCGGCGCTGCGGTAAGAGGCGAAGCGGCTCCTCACCGCCTCCCCCTC